TCCAGATCCTGCTTGTCAGCAGTGAAATGCCATTAATTCCTCTAGGAACTCATTAATAGATTAACATTTGGAAGAGTAATTACAGCTACATTAACACTAAGAATAAAGAAAAATAAAAGAAAACCCAGCATCATTTCTTTTAAACTCTTGACACAAAACGAAGATCAATACTATAAAAAAAAAATCAGAGGTATGGAATTAAGGTCAAAATGATTATTTTAAAAATAGGTAAGCTGTTCATATATATTTCTAATAAAACTAGTAAGGATAAAAATCTTATTTGGTGTTTCACATTATTTGTGTGGAATACCGTCTCACAGGGGTTAGAAAAAGAGTATTGAGGTGAAATCAGGGGTGTATCTGGAAATTGCAAGAGTTGATGACTTCAGTGCTGTTAACCTAAATCACAACTAAAATTAACAATGTCAGGCTTTGTAGCTACAGTTTCTAAGCCAAAGCAAGACACTATTTTTTAGTAAGACTGAAATATATTACCCTTCAAAAGGATTAAATACTGAAAAAGTCTTTTTTGAGAATTTATGATACAGCTCTGTAAAGGAAAGAGAAAAGATAAAGTGGGTGCTACAGTTAGATAAATAGGTGAGATCTTGAGAAATGTTTTCATTTTTCATAAAATTCTCACAATCTGTACATTATACATATATAATTCATTGCATTATAACATGGAGTATGAATCCTGAAGATTTATAAAATATGAAGAAATTCAGTGGATAAAATTTGGCTATTCAGAAATGTTTCTCTCTCAGTTTTATGTATACCAACTGCAGAACCAGGCTGCACTGCAGTGTGCCAGTGGGAACTGAGCTATTTCAAAAAGAAAAAAAGTAAAATCCATGAAAAGTAACAAGGTTTTAAAATACATAAATGACAAATAAAATGAAGTCATCAATGTGTAAAAAATGTTGAAGTTTTAGATTTGCAATTTTCCTATTTAAATGCCCTCATTGATTTGTTACAAATACTGTTAACCCTGTGTTTGGAAAATGGTGAGGACATTATCACTTGTGTTCTCATTTGTAATAAAATAGATTAACTTGCTGTGAAATTTTAACTAGGCTGAGACACAACAGTAGCTACCTAATGAACCAGAGCACATTGCTGTTAAGTAGCTAAATAGATGCATACTGATTACAGGACTGAAAAATGGATGTGTTTACTTGGAGGAAAAAAAAGAATATATCTGTTCATAGTGTTATTCATTATAGTAGGAGAAATTCAGCATTATACTTGCACGCAAACATTTAGAAATAGACAGTTTCTCAATCCATAGGGAGTCTGACATGATTACACTATATCCTCATTTCTAGTACATAAAATACAGAGAAAATTTCAGCTCCTTTGTCACATGTAGGGGAAAGTGCATCTTCCCAGTACATGTGAATTTTTGTAACCATTTAGATATTAGATGGCATAATCAACTTACTCTCTTAGAAAGTGATTCACTGTATGATTAAGAATGACATTATTATTTGACACGTTTATTTCTGCCTGAACATTTCTAAATAAGACCCCAAGTTTGAAGGCAAATTACTTTAAGCAGAAATTATTTTATAGCAAGAGACAATGGAATGTACAGTTACCAGAAGAAGCTAGAATACTTTGCTTTTCTAAATCATCAGCTTTTGAATTACTCAAATAACTCTCATTTAAAGTGACTTATATGGCTGTTTGTGTGATAACTGTGTTAATTCATCGTCATATTTGTTCGTAGGTGGCTTGGATTATTTTTTTTTTGCTGAACAGTTGGCTTGTCTTCTCCTTGGCTATTCATTTTCATAGTTGCAGTAGACAAGAAAATTTACTTAAACTCTGCACTCTTCTGTAAGATTAATCATTTCAAAATTGTATCTTAATTGTAAATTGAGTACTCTTGGTCATAAAAAGAATGTAATGCCAAAGAGGATTGTTAAAGCTGAAATCCAGGCAAATAGAATTATAGTCAGAGTTGTAGCCTGTTAGCAGTAACCAGTTATTTATTCAAGGCTATTATTTACATAAATGTAAAATATGTAAGTGTTGCACAGAATCACTGGATGTCTTGAGTTGGAAGGGACCTTAAAGCTTACCTTCTTCCAACCCCCTTGTCATGGGCAGGGTTGCCACCCACTAGACTGGGCTGCCCAAAGCCCCTTCCAACCTGGCCTTGAAGACCTGCAGGGATGGGCATCCACAACTTGTCTCCATTCAGAACTTTACGAGCAGAGGAGCAGAGGAGCAGAATCACCTCCATTGCCCTGCTGGTCACACTTGATTTGATACAGCCCAGGATACAGCTTTTTTTCCTGGCTGCAAGCATGCATTGCTGGCTCATGCTGAGTTTTTCGTCCACCAGTGCCCCCAAGTCCTTCTCTGCAGGGCTGTTCTAAATACATTTATTGCCTGGCCTGTATTCATGATTGGGATTGCTCCAACCCAGACTCTTGGTCTTGTTGGACTTACTGAAGTTTGCTCATCCCTTCTCTGAAGCCTGTCATGATCCCTCTGAATGACATCCCTTCCATCCAATATGCCAACTGCTCCACTCTGCTTGGTGTCGTTCACAGACTTGCTGAGGGTTCCCTCAGCCCTGCTGTCAGTGTCACCAGCAAAGACACAGATAGTCCCAGAATCAACCCCTGAGGAGCACCACTCATCAGTGTCTCCACCTCAGCACTAAGCCATTGATTCACAATTCTCTGAGTGTGAACATCCAGCCAAGTCCTTACTGACAGAATGATCCATCTGTTCAATCAACATCTCTCCAAATTAGAGCTAAAATTTTGTGCAGGGCAGTCACATGCTTTGTACAGGCTGAGGCAGATATGTCAGTTATTTGTGTATTATTCATCGTATACCTAGAAGAATTCTTCTTGATGTAACCTTTTAAATGTCATTTACTGATCAGTAAATCATATCTGTGTTCTATTTTGCTGGTCTCAGCAACCTCTCAGATCAGTCTTTTGAAGACCGAGGATAAAACATTGACCATTTTGAGATGAGTGGCTTTTCCTTTTTTTCTCCCAAGTTTGAGAATTTGTTGGATTAAAATTATTCAGTTTTAAAAATTTTAAGATCTTATAACTCAACATGTAGTAGGTTAATTTGTAAAAACTTAATAAATATTTTAATTAACATTCAAAAATACTGCAATTAATAGTCTCCCTCCAAGATTTATTTGTTATTGTATATTCATTAAATAACAGATAATTAGTGAGAACAGTTCCATTGAGGATTAACAGCTATGTAATAGATACACATCTGTTACATGATTCTGAAGCTCAGTTGTTATTTAATGTACAATAACTATCCTATTAAAAACACATTCATTACTACATTTTTGGCTGCTGTGATTGGAATAGACAAACACCACCCCTTGCTATTAGAAGTATCCACTCACATTCTCTTCGCATTGTTCTCAGATGTGTCTGTAAACATGAGGGTGAATGCGCTTTAGAGAGATAGTTTTAATGGATAATAGTATTCTTAAAATGTCGATGCCACTGCCAGTGTTATTAATGAATTGCCTCAATAGGTTATGAACAGAAGCTATTATGCTAGCTATTGGTAATGGAGAAGCTATGAGAATCTAGTGTTCTCTTCCTAAAGCTATAGTATTGATTCAGCATACTATCTAGCAAAACTGCATTAAAAGTTTGAATGCTATTGAGCATATTTTCAGAAGCACATGGAAAATTGCCACCAAGTAGCCAGATTGCATACTCTTACTGAAAAATCTGAAATAGATTAGAAAGGCAGAAAAACTGCCAAGTTCTTTTGAGAAAACTTCATCAGATTACAGTGTAAATGTAATTGTGGTTTTTAAAGGGATGGGGCAAGAGGATCTCCCTTAAAAAATTAAATTTAAAAAAAATCACTCATATTTCAGTTCTGTGTTTCCATTGGGAACAGCTGATTGCCACAGATGAGGGCACCTGCAAAGATGCAGTTTCTGGGCTGCTTCTTGTTAGTGTCCCTCCACTGAAACTATGCCTTTAAAGACTTTCTTACTTGTAACAAAGGACATAAAATGTAAAATTTAAAATAAGGTTATCTAGAGTATCTCAGGCCACGATCTGCCCCTTTGAGAAGAGTTCTATTTTTCATTGATCTTCGCAATGATGAAAAGGGGGACTGGCATTTTGAATAAACTGAGAATAGTGCATGTGGACTAGTTGGGTTGGAATGGGTCTCAAGTGGAGAGACCCATCAAGCATTTTCCTCAAGACAGGATGAATAATTACTCATCTAACCTGTTAGCAAAAATTTGTACTAGTGGATGTTCCATAAGTTCTCCAAAGTCTTCAAGTTTAGACAGGCAGGACTATGGAACTTCATTTTACTAAATTTTACAATTTCTTCTCAATTTCTTCCCCTTCCCTAGAGCACCGTGTATATTTAAGTTACACTTCAGTCTCAAAGTTTTGTGTAAAAATGTGCACATAAAAATTTACAAGCAGTCTTGTTTTTGTTGGTCTGTGGTACTTCTCATCTGAAAGTGAACCTGCCTTTACCAATGTTGTGGCTTTTAAAATTGGTCTGTGTGCTGCCTTCAGAAGACACTCGTGATATATTTAAGGACAAGAAGTGATTTTTCTTGTGAATTTACAAATCTGACTGTGCTTAGTGCCAGTTTGTCAAAATTTGATTTATTTATGTGACATGTGACTCATACATGCCAATTTCAATATCTGTAGAGTAAAATTAGTTTGTACAAACCATGCGAAAAAATATTCTCTATATTCCTATGTGTGAAAATGTTAGATTTATGAAAGAAAAAAAGGTGGTAAGTGCTGTGTCATGACCCTAAGGATGAAAAACTGTCTAGATGCATCGCATGTAGAAGATTATATTCTTCTTGAGTATTGAAGGCTGTACTACTCTTTTGATTTGAATTCTGTTCACTGTTTATCTTAGCAAGACTATTTGTTATTTTTATTTTAGCAACTTCAGTGAAGTTCACTAATCAAATTGCACAGACCTTGTTTTATTTCTATTTCAAGGAAAGAATTCAAGACAGCCCTTCTCCAGCTCCATCCCTAGAAGAGAGTCAGCGGCCTGGGAGCCATGCTTCCTCTCATCAGAGCAGCAGCGTGTCCAGCTCACCTTCCCAGCTGGACAACACACCAGACAGAATTGGTTAGTGCTCTGCAGCCTCACACCCCATGACAGTTGCTGACCTCACAAATTTTAGCAGTTTTTTGAAGCAAATACCTTATTTACTGGGAAACTCAGGAAAGCCCCTTTCTGTTTTGTTTCTCCAAAACAGAAAGAAGCATACAAAAAATCCCACCAAAAATGACCAGAAAGCTCCTCACTATAGGTTTCTGTATTGGATTCAATACTACACAGAGCCCAGCCTCTCATTCTGTGTCTGTATCTACTCATGCACAGAAGATACCACCCCTTCTATGATGTGACTCACTGATCTTGCATGCTGGCTTGAGAAAGTGACTCTGAAACCACCTGGAGTTGAAAAATAGCAGGATATGTTTCAAATCCTATGAAAACACACATACAATGATATTTACACTATAAAAACCTCCTGTTGGCCAGACATTCACTCACTGCCATGAAGCTGAGAGGTTTTGATATATATGTATTTTTTGTTCTCTCAAGAACAATTTTCAGTCTGTACATTATTGATCTTGTGTTTAAAATGCAAATTTGGGCTGGAGGAAATTTGGATTCTATTCTTGATTCTTCCAGGAGGCATCTAGGGCAAGTCAGTTATCATCTCCTTACTTCCATGTGTGTCAACACTGTTGTCTTCACAGAGACTGCAACCTATGCAGACATTGCTGAGCTAGATTTAAACTACAAAAGCAGTGCAGTTCTTGGCAGTCACTGTGATCTTCACTGCCTTCAAATTACTACTCAGCAGCTTGCTGGGATTTTGGAGTTTTTGCCATGGTCCGTGCTGCAGCACCACTGCACTACATACCTCTGTTGACAATAGACAAACTAATCAATAGAAACTGGGCTGCTTGGACAAAACACAGCATACACAAGGGAAGAACAAGAAAGTAGATACCCTTCAGCTTCCATGTATGTAAAATAGGGCTTCGCTTTTAGCAATGACAAAGGGATTTTTTTTCCCCTTACTGTAACTTAACTACCTTACTGTAGTTTTTGAAAGCTATTGTAACTTCTTTTGTTAACAGTAATAGCACACAGTGCTATCCTCTGAGCTCCAGCAGTAGTAGTGAAAGGTTTTTTTAAAATAAATAAAATAAAAATGAAACATACAAATTATTATATATTTAATAAGTATTTATTTATTTATTTGTTTGTTTTACTTCTACAAGTTTTTCAAGTTTTTCACAAGTCTTGTTAAAGAAATATTAAATCCTGTAATTGGTTAATTGCATAGAAGGAAACGAAGAAAATAGGCATGAGCTTAGCATGTCTCACTGATCTGGTAGATGTTAAGAATTTTTTTTCACACCATGAAGTATGTTTTTTTTCACTTTCATCTATTGGTTTGGGCTATTTTCTATGCATCTGAGCTTTTTAATTGTCCTTGTTGCTTTACAGATAATTACTAACACTTACATCCTTTGCTTTACTAAACGCGTTTTTTCCCAAAATGATTTCTGTGAAGTACTTTTCTAAATTTTCTATTTGAACTCTCTTCTAAAAAATCAGTTGTTCTCAGTAATTTTAGTTCTGTCTTGGTGTCTTTTTTTAATCAAGTTGAGCAAATTTCCTTCAGCTACATATTCCGCTTTATCATTGCTGAATTGGGAGCTTTATGGACAACAGATGTGGTTACCTGCTTTAAAACTTGTATGAATAAATGTTAAAATATCAAAATAATAAGAAAAAAAATATATAATTTACTGCTTTCCTCTTTTGACATTTTTTAAATGACAGTTCTTTTATTGCTGTGCACTCTCATTTTTTTAGCTATGTTGACCAACAGCAGGGAAGGAGAGCTCATTGATCAAGAAACTGGGACAAGCCTAAAAAAAATGCAAAAGGAGAAAGGTATAACTACACTTCTTTCTATCTCAGGCATTTAATTACACTTACATGCTTTATTCTCTTTTTTACTATTCTGCATAATACTGTAAATCTAAGAAAGCCAAGTGCCTAATTGCAGTGAATAATGTATCACTGGGTTTAGATCGCCTTCTACTTAGGAAGAGTAAACAATCACGTCTTTGCTTCCATCTATTTATATCCTATGGAGTAATATTTTGCCATTCTTTTTCTCAATTATTTATGCAGTTCTTAGCAACTATTTGATTAGTCACATGATATTGTTTCTTTTCCTGCAGTAGATGTGCGTGCAAGCTACTCTAATACTGGTTCATAAGTGAAGGAAATAAGCCATTTTTCATGTTTAAGAATGCTACGTGATCTCATAAGAGGCAAGTAAGGGAAGAGGTGATGTTTAGCCTATAGTGTTCGTCCTGTCGGCAGGGAAGTGCCTCCTCTGATCTTGCACTGATTGGTGGGAGTTGGAGAAAGTTAGTGTGTCTGTGTATTCAGGTAAGCCCTGGGGCACAGCTGCAGAGATGTAGAATCTGCAGCTACGCATGGAGGAGGAATGTGGCATTTTGTTTCCTCGTAAATAAAATTAGAAGAAAATCAGTTGTATTGCTAGACAAAATCATAAGAAATTAGAGTTATCATCAGCAAGACAAAATCAAGTGTTCAGTTTTAAGCTTAGCCAGCACAGGTCAAGTTTGTCTCTGAGAACTAGAAAGTAGTTGGTTCTTTGGCACGTGAAGATGCAGTTTTCATGTAATCCCATGGCTTCAGAACTGAAACATTCTGACTTACCATGGGACAGATGTCAAAATTTGAAAAGCATTAACAATGTGCATCCAACGTTTTGAAGGTGATTTCATACAATCATGGAATTTCACATTGGGCAGTGTGGTGGACCTGTGTTGTATCTCCTTTAGGAATCTCTGTTTTATAGAAACACAAGCACCCTGTAATGGTGGACTGCACCAGTAGGAGATACAGTCTGTATTTTCCTTCTGAAATTCCCAGCCTGTCACCCCATATAAGTGTTATTACACCTCAAGGATTTTTACCACTCCAGTATGTATTTTGTTCCTAGTAGTAATAGTATTCTTTTTGCATAATTGTTTTGGGCTCTGGTGCACCTCAAATGAGTTGAACAATTTTCATGTTCAGATATGGACGGTTACAGAAGAGTGTGATGTATGCTCAGCGAAAAATATATATGTAATTTGTATACAAGCTTTATTTTTCAAAACTTGACATTGCTTTCACTAAGGCAAAGTATATTTACCATGGAAAACATTTGCAAAGTTATTAAGAAGGAATGTAGTTAAAATAAAAGTATCAACATTTATTAAGCATGACAAGTAAGCAGTTTATACAACCGTGGCAAACATATGTTTTCACATCTGCTTTGAGTAATATCATCATGATTTTAAAAATGATTTATAGCTCTGCAAGCCATAAAATGCCAGCTTTGCTGTAAGTTAAAAGTTTTCAAACAACAAAGAAATTATTGAAGGCATATATTAAGCATGTTTTTGTAACACACTTTGTTAGAACTGCATATCTGAGCTGTTTATAGCAATTAAGACAACAACAAATGAAAATTAAGTAACTAAAATTTAGCAGTAGTATTACTCATATGAAAGCTTAGCATAAAAAACAATAAAACTTATTGTGATTATTGTAAGCACTACTGTGATATTCCTCAGGATACAAAATTTTATTTTCCTAATGCCATTGGAAGTGCTGTTAGCACCAGACAAAAATATGTCAGTTTGTTCTCATCAAACTAATTTCAAGGTAATCAGGGCTGAAGAAAATATAGCTTACGTTCTTTCTGACAACACAGTTAATATAAAACTGTTTCAATTATGTTGAGCTGCTTGTATGTGTTGGTGGGACAGAATTTACAGAATTAAAGGCTGTCTCTTCTCAGCAGGGTTAGAGGTTGGTTACAGACCGTGTCTTTAAGCTTATTGAAGAAGCAGTGCCTTTAAATCTCAGTTACTCCACATCCTTTCAGCATCTTAGGAAGTATTGTCAGGCTTAATATTAGAAGACAACTAGATCAAATATATTTATAGATCTGCACAAGCATTCTGCCTGTGCACCCATGTCAGGATATGAGTGAAAACCATATAATGGATAATCTGTACTGTATTTTGAAATTGCTAATGAAAGGAAACAGAAAATTCCCTGTCAACAGAACATAGTCCCAAATGTTACAGAAATGTAAACACAGTTTCTTCACGATTTTGCTTACTTCTATTTCTGTTTTTAAGCAGTAGCATTTTACCTAATTCCTTAAAGTAATTCAATTTTACATTTGCCTGCTTTGGTATTTATCCTAAAAAAAATCTCTATTGTATGGGAAAGGATTGTGTTTGACACAGTACTATATAGGCTTTGTAGAAACCTCCGTATGAAATCTGGCATTAGGAAGGTTAAATGAGCCAGAAAAGAACTTGGCTATACCTGCCAGTAGGGCTTAATTGCAGGTACAATTATTCCTTGTGACTATATGACAAAAAAATATTTCTAAATCTTCATATAGGATGCAATAATAAAAGACACAACCCCAGCTCTTGCCACAGAGAAATCAATGGAAGTGTTTACAATGTCTTCAATGAGAGCAGAGTTTGTCCACCGTCTGGTATTTTGGGCCGTAGCTCCCCCAGCCAGTAGCACTTGTTACTGTCCTAGGCAGGAGCGGTATGTACCCATAGGCAGTACAAATGCTGTGCCTCCCAGGGCAGTGGTGTGCCTGAGCCTGATGAGATGTGGGAACATGCCAGCCCTGCTCCTGTGCTCTGATTTCAGCAGGAGGCAAGCAGGCCCCAGAGAACCACGGCTGTTTGGGGGGCTGAAGTTGTACTCCCCCTAAATGAACCAGAGTAAAAATTCATAGGAAGAGTCTGCAGATGACTGGTTTCTTCTCACTTACCCTTTGTTCAAGTGCTCTTTTAGCAGAAATGAGGGCTCTATTTGCTGAGAAAGTGCTTTGCTCTGAATCTCTCACTGCTGCTCAGTGTCCATACTACCCCCTTTAGCCTGGTTGTCTGCATTCTTGTAGCACAAGTCTACATCCCATGACGGTCTCAGATTTCTGGTAGATGGTAGTCTCCAAAGCTGCATCTGGCAACTATTCTTTTTTATTTCATTGAAGAACACCTTCCCATTTATTACTTCAAGGAAATGGGAATTTTACATCATTTCTGTCAGCTGAGTGAAATATTTTCAGATGGCCATAGATTACAGTAATGAAAGAATAACTCTATCTATTTATTGTGTTTTGTCAGTGGAAAAGGGTTTTTATGATGTTTAAATTAGTAATTGCCAAAGGACTAGGTTACTCACAATGTGAGTAGTGGAGAAAGAGCAGGTGCATAACACCTGAAACAGCAACAGGCCCAAGTGGGGGTGTCCTCCAGAGAGAGGACTTTTCTGACAATGAATGTGAAAGCATCCAGATGGAGAGCGCAAGGAATAAGGAAAGGAACTGAGATTACGAAGCTGTAACATGAATCGTGTATAGAAAGTGTACGAGAGGTGCCAACACTTCAAATGTTCACCATGCTGTTTCTTTGACATTTCAGTACTTACATGTGAAACGTATAATGACAAATAAGCAGTTTTCCTTAGGAATGTGCTCACAAATCTTCTCTTGAGATACATGGAAAAGTTCCCAAATTAGAAGTGAATTCGTGTTCCTTTTGCTGTCTTAAGTGTGACATGAGAGACCCAGGAGTTGTTTGATAAGCAGTGGATGCAATAGTACATGAGTTTAAAGGTTGCAAGGGCTTCCTATTCCAAAAATCTCAAGTGACATGTATTGCACAAATATTCACTAGAAGACTGAGAGATATTTTTATATTTTCTGTCCTCTTAGAATTCTGAAGGGTAACGAACTCAGTGCTGTGTTCTGAGTGAAGGCTTTTTCTGCAAGTTCTTGTCGTTAAATTTAACCTGCAAATGAGCTGACAACTGACAAAATGGTGACCTAAGAGTAGATGGGATCTTTCATCAGTCAGTCAGAAAACGAAAACCAACTGAACAAAAATCTCCAACCAATGAAACTAAGGCAAACTTTTATTAATACTTTGATTCACAGTATATGTGAATAGGAAATAATAGAGAAGTTCTAACTTTTTCAGTGTATAGACTCATGTTGTTATAACTGCATTTAACCATTGCTGAAGTATTTATAAATACAATGGCGAGTAATTGTGTAAGAGCAAATAGTGAAATATTCTAAGTTTGCATCTTTTACATTAAAATTATATTGAGTCTCATAAGTAAACAAATTTTCTTGATTTTTCCAAATCATTTTAAACCACGCCATTTTTTTCTGAAGGGTAAAATAACTGCTTCATAATTATCTTGGCATATGGACAGTTTCTTACATTGATATATAATTTATTGATATGTTTTATTTATTAGGTTTCTATGGCTTTAATGTATTACTGTCTAAAGACTACAAACAGTGAGTCTAGATGAAAGTGCTGAAAGACAGAAATTCTTTTTACTCAGAAAGCTTTGGACCAAATTTTTGTAAGCAGTTCATATAGCTTCATGGAATAAAGTGGGCAAAAAAGAATGGAATAATGTGGCATTTTTACAGGAAGCTTCTCCCCAAAGTCTGAATTATCTCTTCACAGTTTAACGCTTCTACTTTTCTTCCGGAACAGTGAAGTGGGTTTTCTGTAGGTCCATCTTACTGAGCTGTAGCAGATATGAAAGCATCAGGGGGGTACATTGCTCACCTGGTGGCTTTTGCATTAGGCCCAGTAATCTCCCTCAGAGTTAACAGTTGTATTAGAACTGACCCTTTGAATTCTCTGGATCATAATATATCTGATGCAAAGTCATTAACCTCAAAACTGCAGTCGGTGACATTCTTAATGTCTGTGAGTTGTTTAATAAGTATGCCTTCAATCCTCATTAAGATCAGTAGAACTTGAAAAACACGCATCCAGAAAGATAGGCGAAAGGCTTTCTTACAT